ACACCTGGAGTAACAGGCAAATTTGGCCTTGGAGTACAGAATGCAGCAGGGCAAAGGCTCATAGAGTTTTACCAAGAGAACGCACTAGTCATAGCAAACACCCTCTTCCAACAACACAGGAGAAGACTCTACACATGGACATCACCAGATGGTCAACATAGAAATCAGATTGATTATATTCTTTGCAGCCAAAGGTGGAGAAGTTCTACACAGTCAGCAAAAACAAGACCAGGAGCTGACTGTGGCTCAAATAATGAACTTCTTATTGCCAAATTCAGACTTATATTGAAGAAAGTGGGGAAAACCACTAGACCATTCAGGTATGACTTAAATCAAATCCTTTACAATTATACAATGGAAGTGAGAAATAGATTTAAGGAGCTAGATCTGATAAGAGTGCCTGATGAACTATGGACAGAGGTTCATGACATTGTACAGGAGGCAGGGATCAAGACCATCCCCAAGAAAAAGACATGCAAAAAAGCAAAATGGCTGTCTGAGGAAGCCTTGCTACAAAAAAGAAGAGCAGCGAAAAGCAAAGGAGATGAGGAAAGATATACCCATTTAAATGCAGAGTTCCAAAGAATAGCAGGGAGAGATAAGAAAGCCTTCCTCAGTGATCAGTGCAAAGAAATAGAGGAAAATAACAGAATGGGAAAGACTAGAGATCTCTTCAAGAAAATTAGAAATACCAAGGGAACATTTCATGCACAGATTCGTTCAATAAAGGACAGAAATGGTATGGCCCTAACAGAAGCAGAAGATATTAAGAAGAGGTGGCAAGAATACACAGAAGAACTATACAAAAAAGATCTTCATGATGCAGATAATCACGATGGTATGATCCCTCACCTAGAACCAGACATCCTGGGATGTGAAGTCAAGTGGGCCTTAGGAAGCATCACTATGAACAAAGCTAGTGGAGGTGATGGAATTCCAGTTGAGCGATTTCAAATCCTAAAAGATGATGCTATGAAAGTGCTGCACTCAGTATGCCAGCAAATTTGGAAAACTCAGCAGAGGCCACAGGACTGGAAAAGGTCAGTTTTCATTCTAATCCCAAAGAAAGGCAATGCCAAAAAATGCTCAGACTACCACACAATTGCACTCATCTCACACGCTAGCAAAGTAATGCTCAAAATTCTCTAAGCCAGGCTTCAGCAATATGTGAACCGTGAACTTTCAGATGTTCAAGCTGGTTTTAGAAAAGGCAGAGGAACCAGAGATCAAATTGCCAACATCTGCTGGATCATCAAGAAAGCAAGAGCGTTCAGAAAAACATCTATTTCTGTTTTATTGACTATGCCAAAGCCTTTGACTGTGTGGATCACAATAAATTGTGGAAAATTCTGAAAGAGATGGGAATACCAGACCACCTGACCTGCCTCTTGAGAAACCTGTATGCAGGTCAGGAAGCAACAGTTAGAACTGGACATGCAACAATAGACTGGTTCCAAATAGGAAAAGGAGTACGTCAAGGCTGTATGTTGTCACCCTGCTTATGTAATGTCTATGCAGAGTACATCATGCAAAATGCTGGGCTGGATGAAGCACAAGCTGGAATCAAGATTGCTGGGAGAAATATCAGTAACCTCAGATATGCAGATGACACCACCCTTATGGCAGAAAGTGAAGAACTAAAGAGCCTCTTGATGAAAGTGAAAGAGGAGAGTGAAGAAGCTGGCTTAAAGTGCAACATTCAGAAAACTAAGATCATGGCATCCGGTCCCATCACTTCATGGCAAATAGATGGGGAAACAGTGGAAACAGTGGCTGACTTTAGTTTTGGGGGCTCACAAATCACTGCAGATGGTGACTGCAGGCATGGAATTAAAAGATGCTTACTCCTGGGAAGGAAAGCTATGACCAACCTAGACAGCATATTAAAAAGCAGAGGCATTACTTTGCCAGCAAAGGTCTGTCTAGTCAAGGCTATGGTTTTTCCAGTAGTCATGTATGGTTGTGAGAGTTAGACCATAAAGAAAGCTGAACGCCGAAGCATTGATGCTTTTTAACTGTGGTGTTGGAGAAGACTCTTGAGAGCCCCTTGGGCTGCAAGGAGATAAAACAAGTCAATCTTAAAAGAAATCAGCCCTGAATATTCATTGGAAGGACTGGTGCTGAAGCTGAAGTGCCAATACTTTGGCCACCTGATGTGAAGAGCTGACTCATTTGAAAAGACCCTGATGCTGGGAAAGATTGAAGGCAGGAGGAGAAGGGGACGCAGAGAATGAGATGCTTGCATGGCATCACGGACTCAATGGACATGAGTGTGAGCAAGCTCTGGGAGCTGCTGATGTACAGGGAGGCCTGGCGTGCTGCAGTCCATGGTGTTCCAAAGAGTTGGACACTATTGAAGGACTAAACTGACCTGATGTGACTGTAAAGCATGTGTCTTTAATTTTGGTTTCCACATGCTTAAAGTAGATGTATAGAAAGGTGATTGATGGTTCTGTGCTGCCTACTCCACCAGAGCCCTCTGGAGAGGGAGGAGAGCCCTGCGGCAGAGCAGGGGGTCGAGAGGAGGCGAGGAGGGAGAGCACAAGCCAGCCTGCAGGGGGCCTCAGGAGGAGGACTGCGGGGAGTCAGGAGAGGTGTGGTCCTCAGGGGAGGAAGGAAGCTGGACAGGAGACTGCCCACCCACAGGAGAGCTCTTGTGGGAGAGAGGAGGTGGCCCTTCTCCCCTTCCAGCCTTCAGTTCAGTTCAGTTGCTCAGTTGTGTCTGACTCTTTGTGACCCCATGGGCTGCATCACACCAGGCCTCCCTGTACATCACCAGCTCCCAGAGCTTGCTCACACTCATGTCCATTGAGTCCGTGATGCCATTCAAGCATCTCATCCTCTGTCGTCCCCTTCTCCTCCTGCCTCCAATCTTTCCCAGCATCAGGGTCTTTTCAAATGAGTCAGCTCTTCACATCAGGTGGCCAAAGTATTGGAGCTTCACCTTCAGCACCAGTCCTTCCAATGAATATTCAGGGCTGATTTCTTTTAAGATTGACTTGTTTTATCTCCTTGCAGTCCAAGGGATTCTCAAGAGTCTCCTCCAACACCACAGTTTGAAAGCTTCAATTTTTCGGCACTCAGGCTTCTCCATGGTCCAACTCTCACATCCATACATAACTACTGGAAAAACTATAGCTTTGATTAAACAGACATTTGTCAGCAAAATGATGTCTCTGCTTTATAATATGCCATCTAGGTTGGTAATAGCTTTTCTTTCAAGGAGCAACTGTCTTTAAATTTCAGGGCAGTCACCATCTGTAGTGATTTTTGGAGTCCAAGAAAATAAAGTCTGTCATTGTTTCCATTGTTTCACCATCTATTTGCCATGGCGCAATGGGACTGGATGCCAGGATTTTAGTTTCTTGAAGGTTGAGTTTTAAGCCAGCCTTTTCACTCTCCTCTTTCACCTTCATCAAGAGGCTCTTTAGCTCTTCACTTTCTGCCATTAGGTGTCATCTGCATATCTGAGGTTTTTTATATTTTTCCCAGCAATCTTGATTCCAGCTTGAGTTTCATCTAGCCTGGCATTTTTTTTTTTTTTTTTAGCCTGGCATTTTACATGATGTACTCTGCATAGAAGTTAAATAAGCAGGGTGTCAATATACAGTCTTGACGTACTCCTTTCCCAATTTTGAACAATCAATTGTTCCATGTCCAGTTCTAACTATTGCTTCTTGACCCGAATACATGTTTCTCAGAAGGCAGGTAAGGTGGTGTAGTATTCCCATCTCTTTAAGACTTTTCTACAGTTTGATCCACACAGTCAAAGGCTTTGGCGCATTCAATGAAGCAGAAAGAGATGTTTTTCTGGAATTCCCTTGCTTTTTCTATGATCTAACGGATGTTGGCAATTCGAGCTCTGGTTTCTCTACCTTTTCTAAATTCAGCTTGAACATCTGGAAGTTAATGGTTCACGTCCTGTTGAAACCCATCTTGAAGGATTTTGGGCATTACCTTGCTAGCATGTGAAAAGAGTGCAATTGTTCAGTACTTCCAACATTCTTTGGCATTGCCTTTCTTTGGGATTGGAATGAAAACTGACCTTTTCCAGTCCTGTGGCCACTGCTGAGTTTTCCAAATTTGCTGGCATATTGCGTGCAGCACTTTCACAGCATCATCTTTTAGGATTTGAAGTAGCTCAGCTGGAATTCCATCACCTCCAATAGCTTTGTTTATAGCAATGCTTCCTAAGGCCCACTTGACCTCACACTCCAGGATGTCTGGCTCTTAGGTGAGTAATCATACCATCATGTATATCCAGATCATTAAGACTTTTTGAATAGTTCCTCTGTGTATATTTGCCACTTCTCTGCATCCGTTAGGTTCTTACTGTTTTTGTCCTTTATTTGTCCATCTTTGCTTGAAATGTTCCCTTGGGATCCCTGTGTAAAGTCCACAGAAATCTATGTCTGATGTCTTCTGAGCTGCAAACTGCAGATTCCCAGGTAGGGGGAGGTCACCTGCTCCTCCCTGGCCCATGGTCCCGTGCTCTGGCACAGCCCTTTCCCTGGGCCGAGGACAGGCTAGTCTCCACCTCCCCCTTTGCCGGCACCGTCTCTGCCCGTCCTCCCTCAGTTTTGCTTCTCTGCAGGGCTGACTCGAGTGGAGCCAAGAGCATCTAGTGGAGTCCAGCACTGATTGGAGGCGCTTTGCAAACTGATTCCAGCCTCTTCCTCCAGGCTGGCCTCCAGATGTTACTTGTTTGGACCTTAGGAAATTGGTGGGTGGGGGTGGCGGAGGGGTTCTTTCCACAGCCCCTTTCAGGAAGTGCGGCCTTTCTGCCAGACAGTGACTTCCTGGAGCCTCTCCTGACCCACGTGCGTGAACGTACCATTGCAAGGACCTCACAGAGGCCCTGCAAGGGCATTTTGGTCCTCTTTCTGCCTGACCAGTGGTAACCCCTGCCTGTGGGGCGGGTTCTGACCCGACCCCACCTCCGAGGGCGGTCCTGGCCCATCAGCGCTGCTCCAAAAGTCGGCAGCCCGGGTGTGGTGGCAATGGCGGGGCCGGCGGGGGACTGGCCAGAGGCTGCCGCGGCGACCTCGGCCCGGAGCTTGCTGGGGGGCTACCGCACCTACGCCCGCCGGTGGGTCTTCCTGCTGGTGATCAGCCTGCTCAGCTACTCCAACGCCACGGTAGGGGCTGGGCCGGGGCCGGGAGTGCGGGGCAGGGCTGCGGGACAGGCCGGGACCCTGCCAACGTCCGGTGCGCGCCGGGCGCCGCGTCCCGGCGGAGAATAGGCCGCTGAGAACCCGCTTGGCCAGTCCCGGGACGCAGCCCTCCGGTCTCGCGACGGCGGAACCGCGGGGGAGGGCCGCCCGCGAGGACGCCGGCGACCTCAGCGCGGGCCGGGGGCGGAGAGCCTCTTCCTTGGCCGAGGCTGCGCAGGGAGAGCGGGTCTTCTGTCTGTCCTGGCAGGGCCTGAGCCCAGGTCCTGAGACCCGCGGTGGTTTCGACAGGATGCCTCTCCTGCCTCCGAAAGACTCACTGTTTGCAGCCACGGAGGGCTCCTCCCGAGGTCTCTCCTCTCTGCCAAGCGCGCACCCACTGCAGCCTGGGCACCCGCTCTGCCCCCCTACCAGCCTCTCTTCCCTGGGCCCCTGCCGCCCTCCCTGGGTTTCTGGCTCACTTGCAAGGTCCCTCACCAGAGGCCTTTCTTGCCTGCCCACCCAGTCCCTCTCTTCACAGCCACCCCGCTGGGGTCGGCAGTGACCCTTCAGCTGTTCTAGAACCGACCCCACTGCTGGCAGGGACAGTGCTCATCATCGCAGCTCCTGAAACTAGAGAAGCCCCCGCGAGAACCAGGAATACCGGTTCTGGGGCCCCAGCTCTCCTACCTGCTGCTCCACCAGACTCGCTCCTTGAGGGCCCAGGCCCTCTGCCGGCCCAGCACGCACCACGACTCAGCCGGCAGACCTTTCTCTGCTCCTCCAGCCCCGGACTGTGCCATCCCGCATGCCCTGGACTGCATGCTCTTCCCATCCTGAGGCTAGTGGCTGCCTGCTGAGCGGTCAGGCTGCAGAGCTGCTTGTTCGGGGCCCCCGGGTCTCCTCCTGTAGGCTGCCTGAAAGAACGTTGTTCAGCCTCACACTGGACCTCAGGGAGTTGGGCAGCTAGGGGCGGCCATAATCATGAAACGCAAAGCGGCGGTGGGTAGTGGGGCCCGAAGCTCAGAGAGGCCGCGAGTGGCAGAGGGAGGTCAGATGCAGAGACTGTGACGATGAGGGGTTGGCAGGTGAGGGCAGCCCTGGAAGGTACCACCTTGGAGAGGTTCTTGGGCGACAGCCCCTCTTGGACGTCACTGCAAACTTTTTGGGACCTCTTTCCTCCTCTTCTTGCTGGCCAGCCCTGTGCTGGGACAAGTGGCATCCCCAGCCTGGTTCGTTTTTCTCTGCAGCAGTTGCCGGTCTGCGTCTGAACACTGCGAAGCCAGGACTGGGTTTGGGTGAAGTGGTTTGAGAATGCAGAGCGGGGGTCTCTCTCAGCACCCTCCAGCTGCTTCAGTGTCTGGGGGTGGATGTTGGAGCACGAGGCTGTGCCCCCGCACTTGTCTCATCCACAAGTCGTCATGGAGCAGACAGGAATCACACCAGGACTTGTCATGGTTCCCGTGGGGTCGCGGCAGGGAGCTTGGGTCAAGAGATGCACCCTCGCTCACTCCTCCTGCGGCCAGAAGCGCAGGGCCCTTGGTCCCGGGCGGGGTGGGCAGTGTGAAGGGTATGTGGGCGGCACTTGCAATGAGGCCTCCCACGTTCTCAAAGGACGCACAGGGCCTCCTGGCAGGCTGGGAACACGTGGAGGAAGTCCACGCCGTGGGCACACAATCACCCCCACATTGCTGTGTGCATTTCAGACCTGTCTCTGCCCCGCTGGCCACAGGTTCTGGGGAGGACGGAGGGGCGAGGCTAGCAAAGGTGGGCTGCACTGAGAAGCCGTGGCAGCCAGAGCCAGGCTTTCTCGCCGCTGGATCAGCTGGGCAGGAAGCAAGTGGCCTGCACCAAGCTCTTCCTGAACCTAGAAGCTCTGTCCTGAAAAAGGCAACTGTTACTCAAGGTCGCTGTCATGTGGGGCTCTGTGGTCAGAGCTCTGTTCGGGTTAGGAAGGCTAGATCCTGCGGCATGGGGGCAGGGTGTGAGGCCTGGGTGAGCTCCCGCCTTGCTGTGTCCTCTCAGAGGTGGAGTCCGCGGGCTTTGATCTGTGACACCTTCATTTCTGGACCAAGCCAGGACGCCTCCCCACTCCCTCCTGCAGTAAGCTCTGGTGCACCTGGGTTCCCTCCATGGGCACTGAGTATCCACAGAGTGGCCCCCCACAATGTGCTCCTCGGCCTGTCCTGTCTGGGCAAACTACAAGTCCACGTGACATGGGGCCGGGGGACCCTCTCCCACCCCCTGGCACTCCAGCTTTGGCCAGCACCCAGTCTAGGTGCCCTCCACCCCAGCAAGGTGGCCATCTCTCTTCTGCTGTCAGCCCCAGGCCTTCTCCTTGGAGGGTCGGTCCTGGGGGTCTCACTGTCCCGCAGAGTCCAGCCAGGCTGTCGCCTCCATCTGCCCCAGGACCATGTCTGCAAGGATGGTTCTGGTCCTCTGCCCCAACATGCTGTCTGAGCCCCCAGCTGGTGCCTCCCCTCTGGCATGACCAAGTGAAGACTCCAGCCCTGACGGGACCCCTGGACCCTTTCTCTCCCTCAGACCAGCTGGCCACGCCCAGGGCAGCCGGCAGCCACAGTGTCTGAGGTGCCCACCCCCCGGCTCACGCCAGCCTGTGTCTCGCAGCTGTGGCTCAGCTTTGCACCCGTGGCTGACACGATCGCCCGGCACTTCCTCCTCTCCACTGAGCAGATCAACTGGCTATCACTGGTCTACCTCGTGGTGTCCATCCCGTCCGGTGTGGTGGCCATCTGGGTTCTGGACTCCGTTGGACTCCGCTGGGCAGTGAGTCCGACCGCACACCAGGGCCTGCTCTGGGACGGGTGGGTCCCCGAATGTGGGATCGAGAGCCACCCCCTCCTCCCGAGACCCGAGTCCTCAGGCAGAGCCCCTGGGTGGTGAGTTGGGGCTGGGGCGCTGGGGGCGTCCCGGCTGGTGGGCAGCTCTTCTGACCCCACCCTTGCAGACCACCTTAGGCGCGTTCCTGAACTTCTCGGGGAGCGTGATCCGCTCCATACCCTGCATGGCCATCGGCATCCAGGACCCGTTTGTCCTCCTCTTGGGTGGGCAGAGCCTCTGCGCCCTGGCCCAGACCCTGGTCATCTTCTCTCCAGCCAAGCTGGCCGCCTTGTGGTTCCCTGAGCACCAGCGAGCCACAGCCAACATGATCGGCACCATGTGTGAGTCTCAGCGAGGCCGGCATCCCCTCTGCTTAGCGTGTGGCTGGGCGCCTCTGTGTACTCCCCGGTCTGGGGGCAAGGGTTCCTCCATGGAAGGGGGCCCAGCCTGCCTTCCTGAGCTGACACACGTCCCTGTCCATTTAGCGAATCCCCTGGGTATTCTGGTAGCCAACCTGCTGTCTCCCATCCTTGTGAAGACGGAGGAGGACATCCCCCTGATGGTGAGGGAGCTCACAGGTGCACGCGTGTGTGCACCTCTGTGTATGGTGTATAGTGTGTGGCTGTGCTCGAGTGGCTGTGTGTGTTTGCATGTGTGTGTGTGCATGTTTGTGGGCTGTGTGTGCTAGTGCATGTGTGCACATGTGCGGGAGTGGTGGGCTTGTGCACCCACACTGTCCGTGTGTGTGCACTTGCACCTTCTCTGGACACAGGGCTGAGTGCACCCCACGTACGTGGGGCTTCCTCCGTTTCAAGTACTGGGTGCCTTCCGAGTGTCAGGCACAACCCCAGGCACTGGGATGCTGGGTGTTTTTCTTGGAGGAGAGAGAGCACCAGGGTGGCGACAGGCTGGCTGCAGCAGGATGAGGCATTGGGGGTGGGGGTGGGGTGGGGAGGAGGATGAGGGACCAGAGAGAGAGACACTGCGGTGGAGGTGAGACTGAGGGGTGCGGCTGCAGCCAGAGGTGTGTGTCTGCTGAGCAAGGGGAGGGTGGAGGGAAGCATCAGTCCAGGTGGCAGGCGGTTGGCTTGATGTGATGGACACCCTGGGGGATCCGAAGGGGGAGTGATTCCATCTGGTCCAGAATGGCTCGGGGAGCGAAAGGTGTGCCCGGAGTGTCCAGGGAGAGAGCCTGGGCTTTGATCCAGCTGGGGAGTGGGGTGCACTGAGGAGTGAGGGGCTTCCAGCTGGGTGAGAGTTGGGGTCACTCACAGAGGTGGGAGAGGGGGTCCAGGTGACAGCTGGATAGAGCTTCCAGAGACAGTCGAGCTGAGGCCGTCGTTGGAGTCACCCTTGGGTGAAATTTTGAAAGCCAGGTTTCTGAATACAGCAAAGCAGAGGAGGCCCTGAACGGGCCCTGGACTTGCCGGTGTCCACCTGGAACGACAGGCGGGGGCGGGCAGTGAGGAGGCAGCAGCTTGTCTGGAGCCTGGAGAGCAGGCTTGAGGCGCCCATGTGCGTGTGCGTGCATCCACGAGGACCTGTGTGTGTGTGCACTCATGCACACCCTCCCCACAGCTAGGCACCTACATCCTCCCTGCCGGCCTTGCCTTCCTGCTGGCCACTGCATGCCTCTGGGAGAGTGTGCCCCCCACCCCGCCCTCTGCGGGGGCTGCCCAATCCACATCGCTGTCATTCCTAGCCGGGCTGAAGCTGGTCAGTGCCCCATGTGCTGTGGGCCCCGGGGGCAGAGGCGGGGGGCAGGAGGACGGGGGGGGGGCAGGCCACCCCTGGAGCCCCTGTCTGTGCTGCTGAGGCTCTGGACTGAGCGAGCCCTCCCCTTTAGCTCACAAGGAACAAGGCCTACCTCATTCTGGCCGTGTGCTTCGGGGGCGGCATTGGCATCTTCTCCAGCTTCTCGGCCCTCCTGGAGCAGGTCCTCTGCGTGAACGGCTACTCTAGTGTGAGTGCTGGCCCCGACCTGGGGGCCCCCCACCCAGACACAGCCTTGGGGGCCTGTTGCCCTGCTGGTGGCTGTGGAGCGGCCCACGAGCTCCCCAAATGCTGTCTCCACACCTGGATGGGGTGACCTTCTGTTAGGGTGCTCTTGAGATGCTGTATGAATCTGTGTCTGCAGACAGTGGGTGGCAGCTGTGGGCCGGGGTGCTGGCAGAGGCCCTCCGCCAGGCCTGTGGGTTCTTCTGGCATCGGACTGGCAGCATCTCCGCCATGCCTGCTGTGGTCTGGCTTCAGCACTGGGTGTGGGGTTCAGGCCCCAAGTGCTCCCAGTTTCTCAGAGGTGACAGGCACCGAGGGCATCTGCGGAAGCCAGGCCCTTTCTCTAGGACTGGTCCAGTTCCTGGGTGGAGCTGAGACAAGGATGCGGCACATCCAGGGAGGACACCTCCTGCCCCAAGCATCCCACGCAGTCCTGCCTGGATCTCCGGCGCTGCTCGGTGACCCCACCATGGGCTTCCTGGTGGTGGTGTACACGCTAAGGATGAGTGCCACCTCCTGGGCTCAGATGATGGACAAGGTGCCCCCTACCCTCCAGGAGTTTGCGGGCCTCTGTGGGGCTTTCTTCATCGCGTTTGGAGTCTTGGGGGCAGTGGCTCTGGGCCTGTACGTAGACAGGACCAAGCACCTCACCGAGGCCATCAAGATTGGCCTCTGTCTGACGTCTCTGGCCTGCGTGGCCTTTGCTGTGGTAAGAGTCCTCTTGAGCTGAGACCACCTTGCAGAGGGTGAGAGTGGGGTGCCCCAGGGGTGGGGAAGCTGTTAGGTTGGCCATAACAGACACCAGACCCACTCATACCCAGGCGTCGCCGCCGGGGTGTCCCTGCAGTGGTGTGGGCGCTGTGGCCTCTCCAGCCCTGGCGCTGCCCCGCCCCCAACAGGGCCTGGCAGGGCCTGGGGTCCAGGCTGGGGCACTTCTGACTCCAGCCCTGTCGGTCTGTGCGGCTTGCTGCCCAGGTATCCCAGTTGCAGGGACAGACCGTTGCGCTGGCTGCCATCTGCTCGCTGCTGGGGTTCTTCGGCTTCTCGGTGGCGCCTGTTGCCATGGAGCTGGCGGTCGAGTGCTCCTTCCCCGTGGGTGAGGGCGCAGCCGCGGGACTGGTCTTCGTGCTGGGGTGAGTGCCCATTCCCATGACTTTCCTAGGGACCCAGGGACCCTCCCCTTGCCCCACCCCCGCAACCAGACACACTGCGGGCAATCTGAATGCCTACTGTGTGCTGCCCTCGGGTGCCCGGGGCAGTGCTGGGGTGGGGCTGAGGGCTTCATGGCTGTGCAGGCAGGCCGAGGGCGTTCTCATCATGGTGCTGCTGACCTCCCTGACCGTGCGCCACCCGGAGCCGTCTGTCTCCACCTGCCGGGATGGCCAGGGCCCACTGGACTGGAAGGGTGAGGGCACAGACCAGGAGGTTGACCCCACCCAGCCCTGGAGTCTCCCTTCCACCGGCCTCTTTCTCTTGGCAACCTCTGCCATCCTGGCAGGGTGTCCGTTGTGGGGTGAGGTGGGTTGGGGCGGACCTGAGGGCAGCAGGCATAACCTGGAGCGCAGCGTGGCAGGAGCAGCGCCCCCACCTGTGACCCCATGTGTGAGCGGTTTTGAAGTGAGATCAGAGACAGGAGAGACAAAGTAAGAGACACAGAGAAAGACAGAGATGGAGACAGAAAGCCAGAGACAGGAGTGGGATTGTGTTGCACACCCACATCCTCAGACCTGGTGGGGTGACCTTGGGGCTCACGGCCCCTGGTTCTGTGAACTTGCCTCTTGGGGCTGGGCGGGGATCTATGCCCGAGGTTGCTCTGGGGTCCCCTGCACCTGGGTGAGTGCCCAGGCGCTTGGGGCGCCTCAGGCAGAGCTCGGCTGTGTCTCCCCAGTGCCCATGCTGCTGATGGCCGGCCTCTGCGTCCTCTTCAGCTGCCTCCTGGTGCTCCTCTTCCACACCCCGTACCGGCGCCTGCAGGCCGAGGCTGACGCCAGCCCCTCCATTCAGGAGGACGAACGCCCAGCAACTGCAACAACCCTGGACCACGTGCCCTACCTGGCAGCCACACCCTGAGGCTCCACCACAGCACTCTGGCCCCCAACAAACCCTTCCTGGAACTGGTGCTACTGGCCCTGCCTCCTTCCTCTTGGGAGCCCTCCAAGATGTCTCAGGGGCCAGGCAGAGGGCCAGAGGCTAGAGAGCAGTTGCCATGACAAAAAGAGAACCTGGGGATGTGAAGGGGAGGCAGGGACGTGGGCTCTGGTCCCTCTGGCTGGACCTGTCATGACTGAGGCTGGGATGACGCTGGCATCCTGGGGGACCCAGGGTCGTGGCAGTGGGGCCCAGAGGATTCTCTGTGGCCGTAGCAAGAAAAGCTGCTGCTGTGCAGACAAGAGGCCACTGACCAGGGGTACCCCAGTGGCCAGACCAGGCCCAGGATGGCTGCTGCAGGGGCTGGCCTGGCACCAGGGGCCCAGGGTGAGGGGGAACTGAATGGGTGTGGGATTCCGAGGGCCCCAGCTTGGCTGGGTGTGGAGTGGACAGGTGTGAGGAAGGCCTTCCTCGAAGGAGCCCATACCAGAGCCACCTCTGCTGACCATTGAATGACTAGCCCTCCAGCCTGGTGCCAGCATAGATGGGCAGAGCAGGTGGGGCCAGGCTGGGCAGGAGGCAGAGGGTGGGCCCCAGGCAGACACTGCTACTCCCTGAAGACCCTCCTGCCCCCAGGGGGTTACCCACACCCCAGACTTTCTTCACCCCACAGACACTCCCACCCCTGGAGGACACTCCTACCCCCAGGAGGACACCTCCGCCCAACAGAGACACTGTGGGTTCTGCCCACTGTTTGTGGGCAGGAAGGTTTGTGGGTTCACATTTATTCAACTGGTCACAGCCCCATGGGGTGGAGGTGCCCCTTACTCCTCTTCCCATGAGTGAGCACATGGCTCAGCACCTTGTAATCAGATTGCTTTGTGGCATCGCTGGTGGAGAACTGGAACATCTGGTCGACCTGTGAGTTTGGTGGGGGGGGGGGCGGGGTCAGGCCAAGGCTGGGGTGGGAGGAGTGGGAGGGTCCCCAAGGCTGCAGCCAGCAGGTGAATTACAGGAACTGGACTCCAGGCTCTGTCTTGTTTCTGTGCGGGGGGTGGGGGGGGGTGGAAGGAAGCTGGGGGAGAACCTGCAGGGCAAGGGGTGGGGCCGGGGCTGGCATCCCCCTTCCTGGACACTGGGCGTCCCACCCTCCCGATGCTGCAGCTTTTAGGGGCAGAGGCACATCCCCCCAGAGCCCTGAGGGCCATGCTTGGGCCTCACAGAGGGCCTCGGGGAAGGACGTAGGGCGCCAGGGGCCAAACCTCTTCAGCAGTCATGTTGTTGGCCTAGGACACGAGCTGCCGCCTGCTGCTGAGGACAGCAGGGAGCAGCCACATTAGGCTGTTCTGGGAAAGGCACTGGTCCTGAACTGGAGGGGTGGCCCCAGGCGAGCCCTGTGATGGGTCCTCATGGGGGGCAGGGCTGCCCCCTTCAATCCCACCCACTCACAGGGCAGCTACCTCTTGGGAGCCTGGCCCTGGGTGAGTCCTGGGCACTAGGGGGGACCACAGGGAGCCATCCCTGACTCCCACATCCCTGGGGCACCAGCCTGGCACACTGACTAGTCCGGTTATGAGACTGAAGTAGCCCAGAGGGGCTAAACACTCAGCGATGGTCTGAACGGCAGTGACCGCTGGCCCATGTGGGTATGGCTGACCCTGCCCTGGGTTACCATGAGGGACTCAGGATCCCGGGCAGGCTGATCAAGACCTGAAAGCTGGGACAGGTGGGGTGGAGGCTGGGGGTGGGCCTGGCTTCCTCCTGCCCTGGTGGTGCCTGGGTGTGCAGGGTCATGCTCACGAGTCCTTGTTGGCGCTGCCCTTGCCAGCAGGGTCCAGCATCTTGAATGCGCTGAGGACAGTCTCCTTGGGGTCCATGCCTGCCCACAGGAGGCCTTGAACCTTGGGCGTCTCAGGCGCTAGTCCTGCCCCCTCGCCACCTAGGGCTCCACATCCTCGCCCACTCGATGCTCTCAGTGGCCTTCCCACTCTGAGCACCTGAGAGACCCTCAGCTCCCACCCCAGGGTACTGTTCTTGGTACTGGTCCTGCCAGGCCCAGAGGTGGGCGACTTCTCAGTGAAGGACAGAGGCCCCCACCAGCCAATAGAGGAGAGGTTGGCCTGGGCTGGGTGCTGACAGGGCCCCCAGATGTGGGTCCCGGAATGCCAGGTCCTGGAGATTTTCAAGAGGTCTGCAAATCTGGGTTTTATGTGAGATGTGCAGACGTTAGGAGTCCAGTAAGTGCACACAGAGTGCTTGGCAGACCTGAAGCTGGCCTGGTACTCACCACTCAGCTTCTCCCCAAACACATTCAGGAGCATGGTGAAGTTGATGGGCCCCGAGGCCTCCTTGAACGTGGCATCCAGCTTGTCATCCTTGACTTTGATCTTGTCTATTGCAGGAATGGGGGGTGGGGGTGGGGGTCACGGGGCAGGAGTATCAGCTGCCCTGGTGGCCTTGTGGTTGGTACAGGCGCTGTGGGGCTGCCCCCCTCTGTCATTCTCCAGGTGTCCCCAACCCTCGTTGCCATGGGAACTGTGTGTAAGCACAGCAGGTTCAGTTGGGAAACTGGCCACCACTGCCCACCTCTGGGCAGCCTCTCTGCACACCTGGGCTGGGTCAGCTGTGTCTTCCCTAGGGCTGACCACAGAGCTGAGGGACAGAATACCCCACCAGCGTGACCCCTGCCTCCCTGGCAGAAGGCAGCAGAAGTGAGGATGAGGGACTCTCTGACGTGGACCTTTAAACTTGGGGCTGCAAGGTCCTGGAGTCGGGAGACCGAGGGAGCAGGCTCTGCTAGGCTGGCCTTCTCAGGAGGACCTGTGCCCCTTTCTGCCAGGGAGGCTCCGGGGTGAGAAAACCTTAGCTTCGCTGGGAGGCTGGAAATGGGGCCTGTGGTGGGCGGAGGGGCACCCACGGCCGTGCCGCCCCAGGAAGGGGCTCGGGCCACACGGTCGACCTGCTCTGTGAGTCCAGAGGGGCCGGACATGGCCACCACCTCCGCTGGGAGCCAGCCTGCACTCAGGCTACACTTTGTACCTGGACCCCGGATTCCCTGCCCAAGCCTCGAGCCCCTTCCCGGGCCGTCCCCGGGGCTGGTCTCGGGGGACAGCGGCCCGGACAGGCCTGGGTGTGGCTGCGGCCGCACTGGAGCCGCGGGCGGGGCGGGAAAGGCAGGAGGGAGAGCGCTCGGTTTTGCACTTTGTACAGTGGACTCACACTTTTCAAATATTTGTACCCGAGGTGTCCGGGCCTCGATTTGTGCTCAACCTGGTTCGAAAACGTCAGGGGACAGGAAGGTCGCACCCGCTGCGGGGAACACGAACTCGCTGCCGGCCACCGCACCTGCAGAATCCGCCGCGCGCCGCGCCTGATGACGTCACCCGGGCGGGCGCGCGCGCCGTTCGCCCTCCGGCCGCCAGGGGTCGGCACTCGGCGTCCTCGAGCTGTGGACGGCGCATGCGCATGCCCGGCCGCGCCTCTGCGTCTGCGTCTCCGCGGTGTTCAGGGCCTGGTGCCGTCCTCTTCGGTCCGAATTGTGCTTCCGGCGCGAGGGTCACGGACAAGATGGTTCCGCCGGTGCAGGTCTCTCCGCTCATCAAGGTGAACCAGGCTCCGCAGCCGCCGCCGCTGATCGGCTCTGCGTGGGCAAAGCGCGTGAGCGTCTCGGTGGGGCTCGAGGCCCCGGCCCGGCGTCCCCGACTCTCAGCACCCCCTGCCCTGACCCGGAGGCTGCGACCCCCGCCATCGGGCCCCGACGCCGCGGGTGTGATCCACGCTCCCCCCACCCCTCTCTCAGCGCCCGGGACCCCCGCCCTGACCCCGACCCTGTGGGCTGAGACTCCCCCATCGGGCCCCGACGCCGCGGGTGTGACCCCCACCCCCTCCCCTCTCTCAGCGCCCCGGACCCTGCCCCTGTGGGCTGAGACCCCCAGGCGCGGTCCCCCCTGCCTCCCCTGACCGCTTTTCCCCACAGCTCGGCCGTTACTCCGCCCTGTTCCTCGGCATGGCCTACGGCGCCAAGCGCTATAGTGAGTGTCCGCGGGCGTCTGCGGCCCCCCTGCCAGGGCGGGAGAGGGGCGGCGCGGGAGGCCCCTGACTGAGACCCGAGAGGGCCGGACACCCGCGCGCGGCCGGTTGGAGGTTGGCTGGGCAGCCCCTTGCAGCAGAGAGGACTGAGTGCGGGGCGGCTGGGTGCCTGGAGTGGCCGCGGGCGTCCTGTAGCTGCCCTCTGGGTCGGGCTCTCCGTTAGGAGGTGGGTATCAGGCCTTTACCTACATTCAGGTAAAGGAGAGTGGGAATCGGGCGCCCCTGGCACTCACGGTGTACCTGAGGATGGCTTTGCCTGTGAACTGAATTCCTTTTAGAGGTTCAGTGAAAATGTTCACTGGATACCCCCGCCCCCGCCTTTCCTTTGACAGATTACCTGAAACCCCGGGCAGAAGAGGAGAGGAGGCTCGCAGCCGAGGAGAAGAAGAAGCGGGATGAGCAGAAGCGCATCGAGCGGGAGCTGGCTGAAGGTGCTCACGCGGCTGGCTCTCCTAGATTTGTCCCCCGCCCCACGTTGGGTTTTCAGAAACAGCTGGTGCTTCATAGGGAGCAGCAAGTGGAGAGGAAAGGCCTCCTTCTCCATTTCCACTGGCCCCTGGGCCATCCTTTGCGGGGTGGGCTGGGAGTGGGGAAGGAGAGCTGTTGTGGGGCGTGGGTGCTAACCTGCCTTTAGTGGGACTCGGCCCCTGCGCCTTAGAGGTGGACTCTCTCACCCTTAGAGGCCAGCAACCAGAGCCAGGCTCCACCCTCCCTGACTGCAGGGCAGGTCCTAGTGAGGACCCGCGGGTCAGGGAAGGCCGAGGACAGAGTGGAAATAGAGCATAGCCAGGCTCCATGAGAAGAGACGCTGGATGGTTTAACCCCCAAAATCTAAGGTGGTCCTTATGGGCTATGTGCCTGTGTAATGGTGTGTTTTCCTTCTAACTTTCCAG